TTGTCCAAAAATTTTTTTAAAAAGCTTTGAAACTTTTCAAAATTTAACGACCCATCCGTGCTGAAACACAAAACATAAAAAACACTTTCCCTCGCATTTACGCAATATAAAATGGAAGAACCGATCAGTCCGGAAAAAAACTACAAATTGGAGAACTTTCAATTAAAGTAAAAAAAAATGTTTAAACTAAACTAAAACTCAAGCTTTGGAAAGTAAGCCCACAAAGACGTACCAGAAAACAATCGCATTCAAAAAGAAACATGACATGAGCCCGACGGAAACTAGGAGAAAAACCACGAATCCGAAAAAAAACTATAATTACTGCCTGGAATGAACTTCACCTCATGAATGATGGTAGTTTTAATTATATATCCAAAGAATTGACCCGGAGAGCAGTTTGCATGTCAGCAGTCGTTAAATTGGGTGCCAGACATCAAGCCGACGGGACTTCAAGCCGAATCATAAAATTAGGGAATTCAAGCAGAAAATTTTCTCTCCAAGTCATGAGATATGATTAATTTGAAAACATTTTTGAAGAATTTCTCAATTTCATGATCTTTATTCGGTAATTATTAGCGTTTTCATAAAATTTAAGCCTCCAAATGATGTTTAGGAAAGTTGAAAAAAAGAACACGGTTGAAGGTATTTTTCTTGTTTATAAATTATGCATTTCAAAAACCGGCTGATATTATTAACTGATACCAATCCCAAGTGATTCATTGTCATAAATAACGCTTATTATGGAGTAAAATAGCATACGATTTTGACCAGCAAGGTTTTACAGATGAAAAAACAATGATTTAAGGTGCTTGTTAAGTTTAAGTTTCGGCCTGAAGTCCCGTCGGCTTGTTGTCCTAGACCCGTTAAATTGACCTCTTCTAGCTAAATTGACAATTCCGTAAATAAAGTTGTTTACCGGAAAAAAAGTATATTACCGGGTCGCAACACCCTTGCTTATTGTATTATACATGGACTTTGGTAATTGAATTCATCAAAAAAACATTGAATTTTAACAAGTGGCATGATTCAAAGTAAAGATCAATGATGTTAAATCTAAATCCTCTGGTTAAAAATACTCACTAAACTCTAATCTACCACCAATACCAGGTTGATCAAAATTCTATTTGAAATTTTCCAATTTTCATTAAATTCATGGGACGTCTGACGAACGAACGACACGCATTCGAAAACAAAAAAATTATCTCAAATAAAAAGCAATGGGATCACAGAATAACTGACGGCGAAGTACAACGAGGATTTGCAAATAACAAACATAGCCAATCGAAGATTAAGAAAGAGTAATGAAGGCAAGTAAACATAAAAAACACTGACTTTTTGAACAAATCTTCATTATCGCCCCTTCAATTTGTTGAACATTATCATGGAGACTTTTTTGTTAAAATTTACCCAATGAACAACCTTCAAAAAGCATTATTAACCATTCGCCGAGCACAAAAAAAGGCGACTAAACTTAATTCAACCTCGTACCAGCCGTAAACAAAACCGTTGTCATAGAAAAATTGTGAGCTATTAAGTTTTCTTTTCGACATATCCCTCCTGAAACACAAAACATACAATAATATTTTGCCCTATACTAAGCAATACAAATTGACCAATCGAAACAGTCAAATCGAAAAATATATATATATACTTGGTAAATTTACAATTTACAGATTTTTTGATTAAAGTAAAATTTGTTTTTATTTAAGCCAATAAAAAAAGCGTACCAGATAATATGAATGGCTTGTTTTGAAAAAGAAAAATAATATAAAAAGTTTGAAAAAAATGAAACTATCAATTTCAGAGACGGACAAATAAAAACATGAATAAATTATGTTCCGACACAGAGGTGAACAACAGGTGGAAAAAACAACACACAATACGTCACAAGGTAGTGAATAGAAAAAGAAACTTTTATGAAAATTTAAGTTGAAGATAGAAACCTACAAAAATTTCATGTTTGTAATAGATGATGTTCATAAAAATTTTTAAAAAACATTGGGAAACAATGAACGAGCGGCAACTAAGGCTACAAATATTGGGTCGACAACTGTTGAGCCGAAAACAAAACTGTCGTCAAAAAATTTTTTTTTAAAAGCTTTGAAAATTTTCAAAATTTAACGACCCATCAGTGCTGAAACACAAAACATAAAAAATCTTTTCCCTCGCATTTACGCAATATAAAATGTAAGAACCGATCAGTCCGGAAAAAAATCACAAATTGGAGAACTTTCAATCAAAGTAAAAAATGTTTAAACTAATATAAAACTCAAGCTTTGGAAAGTAGGCCCACAAAGACGTACCAGAAAACAATCGCATTCAAAAAGAAACATGACATGAGCCCGACGGAAACTAGGAGAAAAACCACGAATCCGAAAAAAAAACTATAATTACTGCCTGAAATGAACTTCACCTCATGAATGATGGTAGTTTTAATTATATATGCAAAGAATTGACCCGGACAGCAGTTTGCACGTCAGCAGTCGTTAAATTGGGTGCCAGACATCAAGCCGACGGGACTTCAAGCCGAATCGTAAAATAAGGGAATTCAAGCTGAAAATTTTCTCTCTAAGTCATGAGATATGAATAATTTGAAAACATTTTTGAAGAATCTCTCAATTTTATGATCTTTATTCGGTGATTATTAGCGTTTTCATAAAATTTAAGCCTCCAAATGATGTTTAGGAAAGTTGAAAAATAAAACACGGTTGAAGGTATTTTTCTTGTTTATAATTTATGCATTTCAAAAACCGGCTGATATTATTAACTGATACCAATCCCAAGTGATTCATTGTCATAAATAACGCTTAATATGGAGTAAAATAGCCTACGATTTTGACAAGCAATGTTTTACAGATGAAAAAATAATGATTAAGGTGCTTGTTAAGTTTAAGTTTCTTTTTGAAAAAATCTGACACTGACTTTTTGAAAAAATCTTCATTTTTTCAGTTTCGAAGAAAAAAGATGGCCTTATAGCCCTTGAATTTGTTGAACATTATCATGGACACTTTTTTGTTAAAATTAACCCAATGTGAGAAAACTCGATCAATAGGTAAAACTCTTATTTTGCTGGGAAATTTGATAATTAATTTCGATTTTCGAAATAAAAAGTCGATCACGTTTTTCGCGACCTTTACAATTTTTCTGTTCAATAGTGGATTTTGCCTTCCTTTTAACAATAGAAATACACTGAACTTGAAAAAAAAATCACAAGTCAAACCGCGAAAAATCAAAATTGAGCGTGAACAAAATTTAGGAATTTTTCCTGAAAAACAAATCTGCAAGACCTATATAAGAGTACTCACTACGTCATTACTCTTAAAAATAATAGTAATAATTTTTTTTTAAAATATTAACGCCAGTGTTATCGGAGACGCGATATTTCTTTTATGGTTATGTGGGTTACTCTGAAAAGATGACTTGCAGATGTGAAAAAAAAAATCCTCGATGAGGACTCCGGCTGGTTTTCTATCGAAATTGACTGTATCATCAACCAGAAGATATTTCCAGATGCCTCAAAGAGCTTGCAAGGAATTTTCAAATCTTTAAAAAATCGGAAAGTCAAAATAAAAAACGAGCGGGGAAGCTATCTGAAGAGTAGTTGTGTAACACTCTTGAAATTTAACATTTGAATTTATCAGTAAAACAATTATATTTAACAATTGGCGTGATGTAGATTGATTAGTGAAGTGATTCAAAGGTAAGTTAACTGTATGTTAAAACTATATTCTCTGGTTAGACATATATATTTAAATTAAGTCTACCGCCAACAAAAAGGTTGTACTTACTAATGAAAACTGCAACCCCCGTTTTCAATAACATCATGTGACGTCGGAAGCACTAACAACAAGCATTCGAAAACAAAAAAAAACAAATACAGAGCAATATCTTTGATATGCGAGAATGATCGCAAGGGTATGAATCGGTCGATAAACAACTAACACTAATCGGCAAAGAAGCTTTCAAAAATTTTCAAGCGGCCGCGAATCGTACAATTTGTAGGTAGACTCCTATTGAGCCGAAAACAAAAAAAAACACAGCAACTGTCATAAAAGTTCAAGTTTAAAAACTATGATTTTTTGGCTATTTTTCAGACCCCTTTGAAAATTTCCAAAATTCAATTTACTAAGGTCTTTTTAAATTGTTTTTGATATTCTTTGACTGCAATAAAACGTGTCAGCGTGAACCAATTTCCAGAACAAATCTCACATGCAATTGCTTCATGAATAATTTTCAATTAACTTTAAGTTGTAATTTTACAAGGGGGTGCGAAATTGGAATTACTGATTTTTAAAACCACCGACGAACAGACTCTTTATTAACAGCAATTGTCAGTTTTCTTTTGAAACTACATAAAATTAGTTGACTCAGCTGATAAGACATCAGCCAACACCATTTAGGCTGAACAAAACAAAAGCTTTTACGACAAGGCCAAGCAGAGCTTCGCACCACTTGCCATACAATACAAACATAGCAAATTTGTGCGCAAAAATAAAAATTTAACCGCTGTCGAAAAAAAAACGAATAGTATTCCAAAAAAAAACTAGATCAAACGGCCAAATAATGAAGCGGCTCTAAAGCCGAAAGTACTGAAGCAAACACCCTTAGAGCCGAAAAAAATTCCTTTGAGCCGAAGAAAGTTCTATTTCGTACAGATGTAACAAAAAAATTTTCACAGGGGAAAAAAGTCTCGTATCTACTAGACTAACAAGGACCGTTTTGGGGTATTTTCCATTATAGCCCCCAACCCTAAAAACAAAAAGATAAAAGCCGTGCCTGTGCATTCACACTAAAGAACATCTAAACTTTGTTAGTAAAAAAACTTAGAGATGCATAGAGTTACTAGTTCAGAATAAATGAAGATACACATGCTTTTTAAAATGGGAAACATCACCTTTTCGTACCCGAGGAGTGCATGAACATTAACACCAAAATAGAAAAATCTAGGGCCCACAGCGTTTTGAGGAACCAAACAAAAGAAATAGAACCTAAAAAATTACCTTCTCTCCATACCACCATCCGCCATCTCCACGCGCAGAAAGTAAAACTACGATGTCGCCCGCTTTCAGTGGCAGAACATCCTTATTCATCGATGACAGACGATGTGTGGATTTGCTCACTTTGAACAAAAACCCCGCATCTGCTTTTGGTTCATTTTCAGCGATAGCCAAAGAAGCATCGACCTGGCAGTCTTCCTCGTCAGTTGTACAATCTGTTTGCATTGTTATTTACCAATCTAAAATTATTTAAAATAGTTAGCCAATAAAATTTAATTAAAATACCAAAAATTAATTCAAATACGAAGATTTTTGCTGTAACTAGCATTATCAGTATGCACAACTTGAAGTCATAGTATTTACAAATAAAAACTTTTATAATTCAAAATAAGTAGCTTTAAACTTTTTGAGTATCTGAGAAAATTACATTATTGTTGTTTTCGTTTCTTTTTGTACTTGTAAGCTATTAGAAGGTTGAAAGTATAATGGAAACAAGGGTTACAGTCAGGAGTATATTTATTGCAATCTTCCAGTCAAAGCCCAAGGTATGGAAAATAAAAGATAACGTGGATAAAAGACGATTGGGAATCATGTCACCCAGATAAAGAAAACTAATAACTGCATTATGGTGAAAAGGGACTCAGAAATGTTCTAGAAATTTAAATTTTCAAAATTTCGATTTGGATTAGATTATTTCCGAGAAAAACGAAAAACGGCCATTTTGACCGAAAATAGACAAAACACAAAACCAAGTTGCAAGACGAAAATCAGTCGAAAAGTAGAAAGAAAAATAGAAGAACGAAGCCTCTTATCGTGACATCAGGACACGATAAGATGCTAGTCGGAATATGATTGTGGAAGCGAAAGGTCCAATGGGAGAGTATGAAATCAGATGCCCGGTGCCCAGAGACTATTAAAAAACATAAGGGATATTTAAGCTGCTGTAATGCCCTGAACGCATTTAACTCACTCTTATATTGATTTAGTATATCAGAGCATGAGCAGTTAGAGTCGAGGAAAGATTCAACCCATCTCTAATGGATGTAGTATACAACTGCCAGTAAAAACATGTGATTGTTATTTTCTAGCCGTGTTTTTAAAAAGACTGTTTGTCTGGCGATCCGAGGCCAAGCTATGTGCCAGTCGGTCATATTTGGAAGTTTGACCTTGAGAAAAACAAGAACGCTTAATTTTGGAGTGAAATTTGATTTTTCAAAAATTCGAATGGAGCCTGTCATGCACGATTCTCTCGCGATAACTGAAAACCGAAAAAGAGAAATCAGAACGATCGAGTAACAATCGCGGGAAAGTTGCCAGACAAAGCAGTAGGAAATTGCCATTCGCAATTTCCGTCACAATAAAACTAGAGTAGAGCTGTCCTATCTGAAACAGAAGGAAGCGTATTCCCGAGAATTGGACTATTATTACTCGACTGGATTATCATTCAAACTGGACTAGAGTGAACCTTTGATGGAAAGGTGGACAGCTTGAGTGTCCCAATGGTTCACGAGAAGCCATACTCTAGAGTTCAAACTTGGTCCTGTTGTTGAAACTGATAAACATTAAACTCATTTAGTTACATTATTTAATTCTCGAGTTGATTACCGACTTAATTACTCCCAGTTCTTGAGCGTGCTACGATGTGAGTACTCAATTTAAATTCCTAGAGTGTGTTTTATGATTGTTATGTTGAGGTAAGGCGAGTTTTAGGTTGATCCATCTGAAATGGATCAAAGTTCCACTGTCTGATAAAAAGTAACTTAACGGATTGTTCTGACCCGGTTTTTAACGGCGTTCATGTATTTTGGGTATCTAGAGACCTAAGTATGGGGACGTTCTTTTGTCTAGCGTGGGGGGATATTTTTGTAGTAGCTTTTAAGCTGTAACGGGTCGTAGTCTCATGTCACAAGCGAACCGAATTGGCTCCGACTGATTTGAGGTAGAAGAACACAAGAGATAGTGTCCCTGACTCTTGAGCCAATGGTTATAGGGCCTATTTTTCTTAAGCCTCATGTGTGACTACAGTAGACGAATGTTACATAGTGTTTTTATGGCGCTCCTGGGTGTTTACGACATCAAGACTACGGAGTCGAACCCACTTGAGACAGCTTCGGGCTGCATGCCCATTCTAGAGTACCGGTGGTACGGTTCGGCAGGAACGTGCGAACCTTCCGGTTGTACCGTGAGCGCATTTTAAGAAAACTCGAGAAAACTTCCTGGCACGCTCTCCGAAGGAGGCTTAGCTAACCGAGTAAAGGGTGGGCAACAAGGGGGACAAAAACACGAGCAAAAAGACAAAAAGCGAAACAAAAACCAAAAAAGAATAGAAAAAGGAACAAAAACCATAAAACGAAAAAAGACAGTGACTTTGACACCAGATTAGTTGGATCAAACCTTTATATTAATTAAATAGTATACCCATACTGTTTTACAAGTTCGATCGTTTCGATCAACCTAGCAATTTAACCCAGTAACCTCAATAAAGTGCCCGAGTGTGGGGCGTTGTCAAGGGTTTTCAGATAGCTTGGAACTTAGCTGGACAACAAGGAGACTTGACTGGAAGAGGTGACCAGCCGAGTGGGAAAGTGGTTCAGGAGCACTTGAGCTGAACCAATAGGAGACTTGACTGGAAGAGGTGACCAGCCGAGTGGGAAAGTGGTTCAGGAGCACTTGAGCTGAACCAATAGGAGACTGGACTGGAAGAGGTGACCAGTCGATTGGGAAAGTAGCCAAGAAGGATTTGGCAGTTCTCGAGTTCTCAAGTTGGGCAGAATGGGTATCGTTAAAATCCACATTACATTATAGGAGATAAGTGTAAAATTGGATAAGCGAAATCCCCCGGTTTTGAGGGGTACAGGACTTTATCCTCCACGGTAATTATCCTCCAGGCGATATCCTCCATGGCGGATAAAGTCCTCCGAGTATAAAAGCGCCTTTTTCATTTATTGAGAAGAATGAAACGGAAAAAAAAACAAAGCAGATAGGAGAAATTAACTGACAATTAAAACTGCGATGAAATTGAAGAACAAAAATTAATAATTTCAATTAAATCGTAATTGAAGTTTTCGATTTCGTTGGTTTTTGTTGAGCATGGCAAATTTCATGGTTTCTCAAGGGAAACGGACTTTATCCTCCAGATGTTCCGAAGTCAACTTGTTCCATATAATTGGGCTGCCCGTACGCGGAATGATCAGGAAGTTCCATTTATTGTCTGAAATGATCAAATATTGGATATAATCTAATAATTTGACTGAATTTACTAATTGGAGGAAAACATCCAAATTCATAAAATTGGGGGATAAAATGGAGGAAAAAGTCCCTGTTTGAGAAATGGAGGATAATGGTGGAGGATATCGCCTGGAGGATAATGACCGTGGAGGATAAAGTCCGTTTCCTGGTTTTGAGGAACGTTTTTACTTGAGCAGGCCTGGAGACAGGTTTACGGTTTTCTCTTGAGAGGTTTAGCACCCGGCGCTTAAGGTAATTTTAGGCTTAAGAAGGGGGGCTAAAAAGGGGGAGGTTAGAAGGGGGGCTGGTTAAGTTAGAGGTTGGCGGTTATAATTTGTAAAAAGGGGGGACACATTAGAGTAATTAATTGGTCGGCATCGTCGACTTAGTTACATTAGATATTTACACGCGTTGGTTATAGGAAGCGGATATCCAAAATTAGAATCAGGTAAAGGTAGGTACCCTGGTCGGATCGGTAGGGGGGAACGGACCAAGACAGTTTTTGTGATACCCCATAAGATCGCTAGCAGGGGGGAGGAAAACGCGTGGCAATTAAGTACCAGACATTTTTTCGATAGAAGGTAGACATTTGTCACCTTTGAATTTTAGGTGGGTTCATCTCTTTGTTTTTATTATTTTTTCTTGCTTAGATTTTTGTTGCATTTTGGTAAGGATTTGTGTTTGGTTTTTATACGAACAGGTGATCACAAGATACCTGCGCACAGGTTTTGGTTTCAAGTTGCTTGGAACATTGAAAAAGAGGTAACTAAAAAAGGGGGGTCAGCATTTGGCCACTAAGAGAGGGTTTTTGGGAAAATTTTTACTAGAGCTTGAGTGGTGGTGCAAGGTACAGTGAATCAAGAGGTCCCTAAAACGAAGAAGAAAGAGGTCCCACCGCTCAAACACTTGTTAATAGTCTTGGGACAGTGCCAAAGAAGTCTTGGGACAGTGCAGTCTGGGGACAGTCTTGGGACAGTGCAGTCCTGGGATAGTCTTGGACCAGAGCAGTCTTGGTACAGTCTTGGGACAGTACAGCCTTGAGACAATACAGTCTTGGGACGCTACGATCTTGGGACAGTGGTCTTGGGATAGTGGTCTTGGGACAGTGGTCTTGGGAGACTAGTCTTGGGACAGTGGTCTTGGGATAGTGGTCTTGGGACAGTGGTCTTGGGACACTAGTCTTGGGACAGTGGTCTTGGGACAGTGGTCTTGGGATAGTGGTCTTGGGACAGTGGTCTTGGGACAGTGGTCTTGGGACAGTGGTCTTGGGACAGTGGTCTTGGGACAGTGCTCTTGGGATAGTGGTCTTGGGACAGTGGTCTTGGGACACTAGCCTTGGGACACTAGTCTTGGGATAGCAGCCTTGGGACACTAGCCTTGGGACAGTAGTCTTGGGACATTAGGCTTGGGAAAGGGGTCTTGGGACACTGACAAAAAGTACTGGGTCAGTACCGAACAGTCTTGGGACAGTAGAAAGAAAGCCTGGGACGGTACAAAGAAGAGTAGGGACAGTAACTGGAAGTCTTGGGACGGTATAAAAATTGAAGTAAAATTACAATAAGTGTTTTGAGACAGAACAATACTAGTCGGAACCCGGTACGGTTGAAACCACAAATAAAGAAAGTTACTCGAAAGGTTGTGAAAGAGAACTGGGAACAAGGTTTTTATCACGTTGTATATTTCCTTTTAAGAATTTTTTCATAATAGATTTTATTCTTAGAATAGAATTGTGTATATAATAATATTGTAAATAAGAGCAATTGTAAATAGAAATAATGAGACGGAGTAGGGTACCGGTGCTCGAAAAAAGGTCAAGTGGATCAAACACGAAATATATTTCGTCGCTGCGCGGAACGACATCAATGGGCCCAAGGAAAACATAAGATAACTTTTCAGTTAGCATGGTCAGCACGAGGAGTAGTACCGAGAACAAGGCGAGAGAAGGTGCTAAAGACAAACAGGTGGAGCCCACAATTGAAATCGATCTAGAGACACCAGACCAGAGCGT